GTAACTAAACAACAGAAGCACTACGTATCACATCGTCTAATGCAAAGTACTGTAGTGCAATCTCTTTATCATGAAAGTTGAACTTACAAATGTAGAATTATGCACAAAAAATAACTCCATTCAAAAACAAAACAAGGTAAATTTTAGAGTCTGCAAGTCCACTCAGTCCTACTTCTTATTCAGGCAATCACTCATGCGAACAAGTTTGTTAACAGTTGCAGGAAATAATGCTGCACACTTCTTGTTTACAATGTCATCAGAAAGTGAAAACAGGCGTTCACATGGCATTGTTGTAGCCAGCGTCGCAAGATATTTACATGCCAGATGCGCTAAAGATTTATATGTCCCTTCATGATTCAACCACCATTCCAGATGACACGCATCCATGCTGATGACGGGTTCTGCTCAATAACAATCCAAAGCAGTGCGGACCGACGCATGTTCATTTTCATTGTCTGAGTCAGATGCCACCAGTAAAAGGCTGATTTTCTTTTTTGGTGGTTTGTGTTCTGTAGTTTCCGCATCAGAGTGTTGCTCTTTTAAGACTTCTGAAAGCATGTTCCACACCTCGTCCCTCTCAGATTTTGGAAGGCACTTCAGATTCTTAAACCTTGGATTGAGTGCTTTAGCTATGTTTTGAAATCTCACATTGGTACCTTCTTTATGTTTTGTCAAATCTGCAGTGAAAGTGTTCTTAACATTAACAACATGTGCTGGATCATCATCCAAGACTACTATAACATGAAATATATGGCACAATGGAGCAGGAGACATACAATTCTCCCCAAAGGAGTTCAGTCGCTAAGTAATTAATGCATTATTTTTTTAACAAGCATCATCAGCATGGAAGCATGTCCTCTGGAATGGTGGCCAAAGCATGAAGGGGCATACGAATGTTTAGCATATCTGGCACGTAAATACCTTGCAATGCCGGCTACAAAAGTGCCATGTGAATGCCTGTTCTCACTTTCTAGTGAGATTGTAAACAAGAAGAGGACAGCATTATCTCCTGTAAATGTAAACAAACTTGTTTCTCTTAGTGATTGGCTGAACAAGAAGTAGGACTGAGTGGACTTGTAGGCTTCTAAGTTTTATGTTGTTGTTTTTTTAGTTCAGTTATGTAACAAAAAAAATCTACATTTGTAAGTTGCACTTTCACAATAAAGAGATTACACTACAGTACTTGCAGGAGGTGAATTGAAAAATACTATTTATTTTATCATTTTTACAGTGCGAATATTTGTAATAAAAAATATACACTTTGATTTCAATTACAACACAGACTACAATATATATGAAAATGTAAAAAAACATCCAAAATAGTTAATAAATTTCAATTGGTATTCTATTGTTTAACAATATGATTGAAATTACAATTAATCATGATTAATT